TCTAAAACGAAGCGAACCATGTTTCATGAAATCATATTTAAAATTCGCATATATAATCGAAATCCGCGGTGAAATGCCAAGCTACTCAAGCGTCCCAAAACCGTTTTTATAATGGATGAGGCAAATAGAAACAACCAAAATACTATTTTATTTGTGAACAACTTTTGGGCAGTTTGAGTATTTTTTTCACAGCTGCAATAAAAAAATAACCGAAATTGACAAATTGACTCGAGTCAAAAACGCAAAGAAATCCTTTTTGGCTTTTTGGATTCATTTGTCCTGTTGCATGAAGGAGTTACGTGACATCGAGCCCATGGATGATAAAGCCGTGTCAAGGACACTTTAGAATATTGATATCAAGTTTTGCGTGACAGATGTTTTAGACATGACGGATGTTTAAACATTTGTTGTTTTGGTTTCTCGGAACTGAGCTGAGTTAGTCAGTTTTGGGGAATTTTGAATCGACTAGATTTCTTGAGAGGAGTATAAGAGGTAATTGAATTGAATTAATACAACTTTTGATATTCCAGATTTTGAAATTTTCGTTTGCGATTGATCTATTTAAAACAGTCTGTTAAAAGAGCATCTGAGACTTAGGTCCATCTTGAAAAAACAGTGCTAGCTAAGGATTCGAAAAACGATACGGAGAAGTCTAAAATAATTTAGTTTCTTCCGGAATCATCTGATATACTTTTATGTGATTATTTATGTTCATGAATGTAGTCTGTACATCTCTAATGTACTAACGAAAGAAAACAGTATTAATCTAGATGATAGCAGCAGAGGTTCAATTGCAAACGGCCACTAGTGTGTATGCACCTCAAGTTGATATTCACTTCGCTACTCAATTCGACTTCTGGCCAGTAGATCTAGAGCTAGTAGAACTATTCTTAACGACTCGATTTACATTTTAAAGAAATTTTGACCTCACTGAAAAATCTTGGGCGACTCCTTTGAATAAGTTTTCACTCGAGACGCTTTGAAAGCCTGAAGGTTCAAGAAGTAAGCTGCATTGGTGAGCCTCAACGTACCTCAGTTTACTCGTCGAAACGGCAGCGAAGCAAGAGGCACGCTTCAAAAGTTTCTTGCTGTAAAATAAATTGGCAAATGTTGCCCTTTGAAATAATGATGAGTTCGGCAGTTTCTTTGACGGGAAAAGTTTCTCTTTTTAAGGCCATGCATGCGCAATAGTGCTTTATCAAAGGGAATTTCCCCGAAAGGTACTTCCCCGAAATAACGAGAAACCTATGACAATGGCTACAGACTGAGCATATATTATTGATTATCCGAGGTGGCGTGATCACTTTTCTTAGAACTGAGATACAAAGGCCAAAACGGAAAACTTTCATTTTCGAATAGAGCTCCAAACATTTCAATATTGGTAAGTTTGAGCTAAGTAACAGGTAAGCTGTTTCGTTTGAGCATCTATCGGTGAACTTGCGATTAATTTCTTTCACAAATCTACGTCGATCCGGAGCTCTTCGATCATAGCTGCGAAATTAAACTTTACGATATGTACGTTCTGCTATACATGCAGAAAGGCTGCTAACACGTGGTTTTGAAGTTATTATATCTATGTCAATGCAACTTATATAAAATTTAAGTTTTTGCAACGGGATAAATTTCCCAGACATGACGATGAATGAAATTTTCAATTGTTTCTGTGTTGCGGTTGTGGATCTGTCACTGTATTCCGAGTAGATTAAAAATCAGATGGAATTCGCTTATTCCGCTTAATGAAACGTACTTCCTGCTTCAAATGCCACTGAATCATAGAGAAACTTCATTACTTATCAAGCGTTTTCAGATTAAGAGGACCTAATTTGTGTCAGGAGCATTTTCGTTTTCCACTGAATTGAATTTCGAAGTTCGTCAGAAAGCGGAAGTATAGGTCAAATAATCAAAGGAGTCTGCTTTCGTTTTAAATCCAGGATTCCCTTTCCTGGAAACAAGTTAATTGAAATCTTTGCAATTTGTTTCGAAGCAATTCAACATGTTTGACATAAATGAGGTTATAAAAACACTTGTAACCCATTTTAACATTTTATGAGGTTTGCAATTGTGACGTGCTTCGCACAGGCAATTCACGTGTTCATTGACAAAGACGACCTCTCCGTCAGAGTTGATTAATTTTAAATTGC